ACACACACACACACACACACCCCACAGTGCACACTGTACCAAAATTTGAACAGTTTGTTTCTAGGTGGTAGGATTATAGGACACTTTAATTTTTAACCATGAGTATAGATTACATTTTTAGTAAGAACAATAAATATTTAAAATTACATGATGTCTGTGCCATGATTTACATTGTAAATCCATTTAAGCCCTGTACCACAATATGGATAAAAGTCTTATTTCAAAACATAAATTAATATGAAATTCCTATTATCTTGATTTTTTTTTCCTAAGGGTGAGGTTGGCCAGCAAGGTTCTCCAGGACCAACCCTACTGGTGGAACCACCTGATTCTTCTCTCTATAAAGGAGAAAAGGTAACCCCGGGTCCACAGCTCACCTGGGTAAAGTAGGGGCAGGGAGCATGTTCTGACCGCAGGCTCTGTGCCAGCAAAGTGCTGGGCAGCTTCCCTGCATCACCATGTTAATCCCACAAGAACCTTGACAGGTGGGTACTGTTTTCATGGCATGTGCAGAGATGGAAAATGAGCCCAGGGAAGGGTAAAAACATTCTCAAGTTTACTCAGCTGCTGGGTGGGAGAGCCTAGCAGAGGGTGCTAAACTGTGACATGTCCTCCAAGACATCATGCCCCTCTGGAAGCGCAGTTGTATCAGGGTTTCATGCTTTGGTAATTGAAACAGTAGCAGATGTGTAGCACTGGGCCATAGAAGACTCTTGGCAAATATTCATTCCTCTGTCAGCGCCAGCACCAATGTTCCTGATGCCTTTTGAAAATTCTTTTGCTACTTTTTGGTTACAGGGTTAAATTTCTTTGCCACTCTTTTCAATGGGTGCATTTTCAACTTGGATCTGCAGTCCTTGTTCCGTGGTGGTCCACTCCTGTGTCCAACAACACTACCTCTCACACACAGATTTGGCCTGATAGTAGTGTCAGGTTCATGAGTATGTGTGGGTCTCAGTTGCTAATTAGTGCCAGTTGGAGAGTAATCCCTTATTTTTAAAAGTTAACGAAACAGATTATTAAAAGATTTCTGAAAGAGATTGATTTCCATGTGCTAAATAATAATACACTTGAATGTCTTCATTGTGGTCTTTAGGGTATAAAAGGAATGCCTGGCCTTACTGGGCCACCAGGACCTTTTGGATTCAAGGTAGTTTCTTTAAATACTCTCTTTCTCTCTTTTATTTGTATGATGTGATGTCTTTTAAAAATAAAAAATAAAAAAAAAATCATGGTTTTATCATTGCTTTAAATGCTAATATATAACTAGATTGTTTCACTGTTTTATCATAGTTCTATAGGATGTTTATTTTAAAGTTATTAGGTTTTCTATAAAGGAGCTCTGGTGGTGTAGTGGTTAAGGCATTTGGCTGCTAACCAGAAGGTTGGCAGTTCAAACTCACCAGCTACTCCACAGAATAAAGATGAGGCAGTCTACTTTGGTAAAGATTTACAGCCTTGGAAACCCAATGGCAGTGAGTTAGGATATTTTTTTTTTGTTTTTCTATATAAATTGTTGAAAAGAATTTTTGTTTTTGCTTTGCATATTCCTGAAATGTTTTTCCTTGAATGTCTCTAAACACTGTTCTCTCTTAAAGGGAAAACCTGGTATTGGGGCAAAAGGAGAGAAGGGTATTGCTGGCTTTCCAGGGGCTCCGGTAAGAATCACTCATTCCTGTTAACTTCAGAGAGTTGGGAGGCATTTCTCGTCCACATTTTTTTTTTTTTTTTTTAATATATAAGACTAGGTCAATATTTCCATGTGCTCAAAAGTGGGAAATTCCTCAAAAAAGAACTATGCATTTTGGATAAGAAAATTGCTAAACTTCCCAGAGCATCCCTTCCACTGATAACATTTAATTAAAATGAGAAAGCAGAAGATGGAAGGATTGAAGGGAAGTAATGGGATAGTGTCATTTCCTGTCTGGCTTGGTGTCAGTGTGCTAACAGCTTGGAATTGCTCATTTCAGTCTATTTGATGAAATAAGGTGCTGATCTAGGGAGAGGAGTAGATAAAGCAGCATCCGGTCCCCACATCACCACCCAGTCACTAGTGGACATCCCAGTACATAGAACCATCATGGAGGCCAGACCCCAGCAGGTGTGGGCATTGAGTTTTCTCGGCTCCAGATGGAGTGCCTAATGGGACAGTAATGGCTTCCATGGTAATTTGTGATGCTGGTAATACACAGAGAAACCGTTAAACTCCAGACAAATTGTATTGCAATTGTTTCAAAGCTATTTGGCCCAGTGCAAGTATTAGTTAAACAAATTAATAGAGAAGTGCAAAAACAACAGCTGCCTATGTTCTTGATTTAAAACACTGGCAATGACATGAACTTTATGAAACCGACTAATCAAAGGTCAGTCACAACAGCAAATGTTATGGAGAAATAACATTTATTACATTTTTTACATTTATTTGCTTTTACTCAGCTACCTTTGCACATAAGATTAAATATCTGTGATGCAGCCTCATGCATTGGAAAATGATACATTAAACTGGTTCATGCATTTTGCTTTAATTCTTTTTGTGAATTTATCAGGGTGTCCCTGGCTCCTATGGATCCCCAGGTTTTCCAGGAATAAAGGTAACTATACCCCATTCCGACTCACAGTGACCCCCATAGGGCTTCTGAGGCTGTAAATCTTTATGGAAGTAGATTGCCTCATCTTCCTTCCACGGAGCAGCTGGTGGATTTGAACTGCTGACTTTCTGGTTAGCCTCGAAATGCTTTATCCACTACACTACCAGAGCTTCTTTTTACCCCATTATAGAAATGAAAAAATAATTTTTCATTAGTAAACGCAATTCAGTATCATTCAAGAGTTGTATTTTCACATGCAAGCACTCAGAAGCATGTAACTGGAAAGGCAGACACATCCATTTTATGAATTGTATGATTTGGGTATGGATGCAAGGATTAAGACACAAGACTTTGTTGAATGCAACCCATAAGCAGAGTTAACACAGCACAGCATCTCAGTGGTCATACATCATTTAAATCAAATGCAAGTGAGATAAGTTGATACCCAATCATATACATATATATATAAAAAACAAAAGGCATTTTTGTCATTGTTTGTAGGGGGAATTGGGACCAGTTGGTGATCCTGGGCCATTTGGATTTCTTGGCTCAAAGGTAAGAGTAAGCCTACATCAGTAGAGCCTTGATAAAGCCTTCTATCCCTTATGTTATTTGAAAAAGTGTTTTAAAGAATCATTCACAAATGTAACTGCTCTATGCTTTAGGATTTCCAAAGCTTTAAATACGTACAGAAGCAGACTGCTTCATCTTTCTCCTGGGGAGTGGCTGGTGGGTTCAAGCCTCCATCCTTTATCATTGGCAGCCAGGCTTAACCATTGTGCCACCAGGGCTCCTACAGCTGATTTTAAAAAGGCCTTAAAAGAATTGTTCATAAACACAACTTCTATAAGGGACAGAGTTAATTTTGTTTCTGTTACACTAAAGCGTGTTATAATGAGTACAGTTTACATTTGAGAGATGATCCTTTAGAAAGTAAATAATAATGAAAGCTTCAAATATTCCATAGAGATCAAGTAGTATCAAGATCACAAAGGAAGGGAGACTTCCTCAAAGGTTCTGTAGTTGAGTCCTGATCAAAAGAGAGAATATGGAACAGAATTTCAAATTCTCAATGGAATCCACACTTTCTGGAGCCATCGAGGCTGGAAGAACCCCCAAAATTATTGCCCTGAAATAACCTTTAAACCTTAAACTGAAAAAAATCCCCCTGATATCTTTAAATGAAATAGTAGTTTGGCTTAATTAGTAAGAATGTCTGGCTGGAGCACTGTGCTCTACTCAAGCATTATCTCCATGGAACCAAATTGAAAACAGCAACTCGAAAAGTTAGACAGGACTTTTGGGAGGTAGTGAGTTCATGTAATGGGAAAGGAACAGTTTGGAAAAGGAAGGTGAGAATGGCTGAAAAAATGTAATTCATGCCACTAAACTGTATGTGTAAAAATTGTTGAGTCAGTATGTGTTCTGCTGTGTGTATATCTTCAACAACAAAAAAAATAAAAGAATAATAAAAAAAAAAAGGTGAAGTAGCCCTGGAGATCTCCCTGCTTTTACCACGACTACATTTCTCCCTTATCTTTATCACTTTTATGATCTCAAACATAGAGCAAGTCATGGAGACATTAAGGGAATAAAAGGAGGGGAATAATTGTGGCTAAAATAAAATCTAGATTTGGCAGTTGCTAGGTGAACTAAGCCAGATATTAGTCCTAAAGTACCAAATTTCAAGGTTAATGCTCAAAACATACTGACGAGACTTAATGGCTTCAGAGGTGTTTAATTTATGGGCATAGAATAATCTGGCTAGAGTTTCTACATCTTTTTTTTCTTTTGTGTGAATTTAGCCAGTTGGACCTTAACTTCTGCTTGTAGGTGGGAGGTTGAATGCATAGTTCTTCCTTCTAGAATCCCATGAGCCATTCATTTCTCTAGTCAGCCCACAATCTTTATTTCTTACATAAGTGCACCTATGGTCCTTCTAATATTTATTTAATGCCAGGCAACATGAGAAAAATATATTTATCTTTCTAAGAAAAGTGAATGAATGAATGATTTCAGGGGGATCCTGGAGACCGTGGACACCCAGGACCACCAGGTGTTTTGGTCACACCACCTGTTCCACTCAAAGGTTTGT